GCATGGCGGGGCTCATGTCATAACTGGGAGTATGCGTGAATGTTTCTTTCAGGTAGCTTAAAACACCTAAAATCATAATTTTTTTTTTTGCTTATTAGTTGGGGATCATATTATTTTACCATGCTGCTATAGAAAATGATAGAACAAAAATGTAAAATTGAGATTGGAGGTAGAAAGCGATTGCATAGTATATACAAGGCCTTACGTTCTAGTCCCAGCATGGGGAGAAAAACACACACACACACACGTATGTCTGTATATATATGTGTGTGTGTGTGTGTGTGTATTATATATGTGTGTAATACACAAACTAATGTCTTATAGCATCTTTTAAAAACCTCTGATTCCTATATATCTAGCAACATCACTCCTACATTTATAACCAAAACACTGAAAGCACAGACTCAACTGACATATCCATGTTCAAAGAAGCATTATTTACAATAGTCAAAAGGTAGAAAAGAAATCCAAATGGTGATGGCTGAACAAGTATGGGAAATGTGGTAAATACATATGTTGGAATATTTTTCAAGCCTTAAAAGGAAATCAGGACCTGGGCAAGGTGGTGCACACCTATAATCCCCAAAACTCAAGAGGCTGAGGAAAGAAGATCAGAAGTTCAAGGTTAGTCTGAGCAACTTAGCGAGACTCCTCAAAATGAAAATCAAGAGGGCTGGAGACGTAGTTGAGTGGTAGAGCACTCTGGGATTCAATACCCAGTACCACAAACAACAAAAAAAAGCAAAACCAAATGGGAATGCAGGGCTAAGGGGGTAACTGTGGCTCAGGGGCACAGCACTTGCCTAGTATACACAAGACCCTGGATTTGACCCTAGCACCCAGTCCAAAGTCAAAAGAATGAAATTCTGGCACAAGCTATAACAAAATGAAGACACTATGCTAAGTGAAATGAACCAATCATAAAAGGTCAAACATCATCTGATTTCATTTAATGAAGTACCTGGAATAGTCCCCATTTGTATAGATAAAAAGAATGAGGGTACCGGTTACTAAGAACTGGGGGAAGGAAGAGAGTGTTATTATTTAATGGGTACACAGCTTCAGTATGAATGATGAAAATATCCTGGAGATGGACGGTGGTGATAGTTGTGCAACAATATGAACGTAATTAACACCACTGAACAGTACACTTAAAAATGGTTAAAATGGGCTGGGGATGTGGCTCAAACGGTAGCGTGCTCGCCTGGCATGCGTGCGGCCTGGGTTCGATCCTCAGCACTACATATAGACAAAGATGTTGTGTCCGCCAAATACTAAAAAAAATTAAATAAATATTAAAATTCTCTCTCTCTCTCCTCTCTCTCTCTCTTTAAAAAAAAAATGGTTAAAATGGCTGGGCATAGAGGTGCATGTCTGTCATCCAGCCATCGGGAGACTGAGGCATAAGGATCACAACAAGTTTGAGGTCAGCCTCAGCAACTTAGTGAGGCCCTAGGCAACTCAGTGAGACCTTGTCTCAAAAATTAAAAAGGGTTGGGGACATAGCTCAATAGTAAAGCACCTCTGGATTCAATCCCCAATGCCAAAAAGAAAAAGATTAAAATGTGAATTTTATCTTATGCATGTTTTACCACAGTGAAAAATGGTTAAAAATTATAGCCAGGCATAGTGGCTCATGTGTAATAATCCCAGCTATTTGGGAGGCTGAGGCCAGAAGATCTCAGTTTTGAGAGCAGCCTGGACAACTTAGTGAAACCCCTATCTCAAAATAAAATTTAAAAAGAGATGGGGATGTCAATGGGGTGGTGGCTGAGTGGTAGTGCACTTGCCTGGTAATGTATGAGGCACTGGGTCTGATTCTCAGCACCACATATAAATAAATAAAACAAAGGTCTGTCTATATATCTATATGAGAGAGAGAGAGAGAGAGAGCGAGCGAGAGCGAGCAAGCGAGCTGGGGAGTAGCTCAGTAGTACAGTGCATGCACAAGGCCTTGGATTAACTCCCAGCATTTAAAAAAAAAAAAAATAGGTCAAAACAGTAAATATGTATATTTTATCACAGTTTTTAAAAATTAGATTTGCTTCCAAAACATGTACATGTATATCACCAAGGAAACCAGTTGGTTCCCTCCCTCCCCTTCTCACTGGGGACAACTGTGAGAAACTGCGCGTGACTGGACATGTGATGGAGGTGACAGCTGAAAGCAGGTGGAATGAATGAGGGAGCTCCAAGGGGATTTGCTCTCCCACGACACCTGAGTCATTCAGAAATGCAAAGCCCTCCCTACTGCAGGACCTCAGGAAAGAACAACCCAGAGGGCTCCCAGGGACACGCCGTTCATGTTGCAGCCTTCAGCTGACTTCTTCATACTTTAGGAAATTAACTGTCATGAGAACTGTCATGAGAACAATTTGGAACTGAAATATAATCTGCCACATGAATCCCATCCAACTGGTCCCTCTGGTTTTACTGCCCTGCAGAGGGATGGCACCTGCTGCAGCCGGTTTGCCCCCCTTGGGGCTGCCCTCATGGTCACCACTGTTTAAGCTTCACTCTGTCTTTTTATCTCTAGAATCTTCGAGACAGGTCACAACATATGCCTGCTTGGGATACCTCAGGGAGAAAGATGAGTCCAGAAAAGTACATACACTAAAACAATTCCACGCCCACGTCTCATCCCCAAACACCAATGATTTTAATGCAAGAAATTCCATAAGTCTAAGTGACAAAGCTGTGGTCCTACACAGGGTTACAGGGCTTCCTGAGTGAGTATCCGGAAAGGTTCTATGTTGGGGGAGGGGATGGAGTAGGAGTGATTACACCCCAAAGCAGAACAGGGGATCAGCACAGACAGCAAAAACCTGTTGGGCAGACTCAGAGGGTCATGCTGCGGTCTGCACCGTGCTGCTATTTTTGCCCACCATCCCTGTGTTGAGTCTGCCCCAGACACAGTCCCTGCTGGAGGGGAGCATACAGACCCCAGGAAGGCATAGAAGCCACACCAGGCTCACCCATTGCATCCCCGTCCTCTAGGGGATGGTGCTAAGTTGCTTTTCTGCATCCTTCATCTGGTTCATATCAGGACAAATTTCAGGCTAAGAGGTTAAAGAAGGGGAAAAATTATTTTTTAAAATCCCACTAGAAGGCAACAGATCTACTAGGGATGCAGAGTACACAGCACTTGGCAGAGGGCTGAGAGCACCAACTTCAGGCTGGTGAACTTGACAGAATAAGAATGATACAAAGCACAGAGGGTAACGTAACAGTCCTCCTTTATCCAAGGCTTTGCTTTCCTTGGTTTCCGTTACACTCAGTTAATTGTGGTATAAAAATACTAAGTGGGAAATTCCAGAAATGAAGAATTCATAAGGTTCAAAGAACTTTTATGACAATATTTTACAATTGTTCTATTTATTAATTATTAATGTTAACCTCTTACTATGTCTAATCTATAAATTCAACTTCATTATGATATTATCATATATCTTTGCATATAGGAAAACCAGAGTTACATAGGGTTCCGTACTATCTGAACCACCCGAACCTTCTGGCTCCTCCTGCCAGTCTTGGAACATATCCTGAACAGACAAGGAGGGACTTTGTAGGCATCAGGTACACCTAATAAAAGAAAAAAATAAAAAGCCCACATTTTTACTCATTGGGAAAAGTGATTCTGTTCTTCCACATAGTTAGTGTTGGAAGAAAGAGCTACTCAGTGTCATCACTGGGGCCATTCATTTGGAAAAGATGAATCCTTAACCAAAGTCCTCACTATGTACATCCCAAACTAAGATGATGGCCTGAACCTAATGGTCTCTTGATGGGACGTTACACCAGTATTAAACACGGCCGGGTCCCCTTTCAGGCTTCTGAGACCATGCCTAGCTCTGGGGAGAACCCCAGACTCTTCAGCTGGGCACCCTTGTGCCAACCTGGTGGGGTCAGGGCTGTGCCTGGCAGAGACACACCTGCAGCTCTCTGGAAGGCGTCCACGGCATTCTCCAGTCCAGCTTGGGTCTGCCGATTGCTCCGGGTCCCAATCTGGGTGTAGAGGGCTCCAATGTTAAACAGAATGCTGGCCTTCTCCAGCAGCAAGTTCTGCTGGCTGACCGGGACGCCAGTGAGGGAGTCATACCTATTTAAAAGAAAACACATTCTAGGAATACACATTACTTGGCTAGTTGATGCCACTTTGGGGTGAATACGGGCAAAATTCATTTATTGAATAAAATTTTAAAATGCACATGCAATGGGGCTTTTGTTCCCAAGCAAGATGACAAATTTGATCATGCTGATCACAGAGCCACAGAACTACACAGCCACCCACAAAAAATAAGGCTTTTCAATTGAGATGTCCTTCAAGTAGGTGAATGGATAAATGTGCTGTGGTACATCCAGACAGTGGAACGTAACTCACCACTAAAAGGAAATGAGCTAGCAAGCCATGAAAAGACGTGGGGTAAATTTAAGCACTTATCACTGAGTGAAAAAAGTCTATCTGGATATTCTAGGAAAGACAAAACTGTGGAGATTTTAAAAGATCAGTGGCTGACAGGAGTCAGGAAGGGGGGAAGAATAAATATGCATAGCACAGAGAACTTTCAGGACAGTGAACTATTCTGCAGGATACCACAATGGTGAATGCATGTCATCATGCATTTGTTGAAACCCAGAGACTCTACAACACCCAGAATGAATGATGGTGATAATGATATGTTGTCAAGGTATGATCATCTAGCATAAGAAACCTACCACTGTGGTGGGGACACTGTTCTCATATTAGAACCAGGGATCCATTCACTGTACTTTTTGCTCAATATGGTTGTGAGCATAAAAGTACTCTAAAATAATAATAATATATATTTTTAAATATACATATAAGCGATTGGATGCCCATGCCTATAACCAAGCTACTCAGAAGGCTGAGACAAGGGCATCAAGTTTGAGGCCAGCTTGTATAACCTAGTGAGACCATGTCTCAAAAAAAAAAAAAAAGAGAGAAAAAGAAAAAAAGAAGGAAAAGAAATGTGGCTTTTCCTAAGTGAAATATAGATAGCAATTACTAACCCCTCATAATTCTTCCTGAAGTTTAAAAGACTCAGGATTTTTTTCCCCATATGTTTTTATTGGTGTACTGTAATTGTACATGATGGTGGGGTTTGTTGTCACATATTCACACCTGCCCACAATAAAATAATACCAATATCATTCCCCAGTATTCCCCCCTTTCCTCCCTCCCTCCCTCTGATCCCTCTCTTCTGCTCCATTGATCACCCTTCATTCCTCACGAGAGCCTCCACCTTTCTTTTATTCCATCCCCTCTAGCTTCCACCTAGAGAAAATGTATGACTCTTGGCCTTCTGAGTCTTATTTTGCTGAGAATGATATTCTTAAGTTCATCCATTTTTCCTGCAAATGAAATCATTTCATTTTTTCCTTATGGCTGAATAAACTCCCTTGTGTATGTATACCACATTTTCTTTATCCATTCACCCACTGATGGACACCTAGGCTGGCTCCATAGTTTGGCTATTGTGAATTGTGCTGCTATAAACATGGGTGTGCATGTATCCCTGTAGTAAGATGCCTTTAAATACCAGGAGTGGTACAGCTGGGTCATGTGCTGGTTCCATTCCTTGTCTTTTTCTTTTTCTTTTTTTTTTTTTTTTTGTACCAGGGAAAGAACCCAGAGGCGTTTAGCCATATCCCCAGCCCCATTTTTATACTTTATTTAGAAACAGGGTCTTGCTGACTTGCTTGCGGCCTCGGTAAATCGCTGAGGCTGGCTATGAACTCAAGATCCTCCTGCTTCAGCCTCCTATTCCTAATCTTCTGAGGAACCTCTCTACGGATGTCCACAGTGGTTGTACTAATTCACAATCCCACCAACAGTGTAACTCTGTTCCTTTATCTCCACATCCTCTCCAGCATTTATTATTGTTTGCATTCCTGATGGCTGCCATTCTAACTGGAGTGATGCTCAGGATTTTTTAAAACTCATGATTCAAATCAAGAGGTAGGCAGGAAGCTTGTCCTTAATTCAAGACGAGGGAGAAGTCACCATTGCCTTCTCACTCAAATGGGCAAGCAACCACACTTTTTTTTCAAAGTCATCTGCATGTCCTTCCCAAAGGGAAGGCATTGGCAGTATTCTATCCATTGTGGTAAAATTTTATGCGGCCCACGCCCTTTAGCCCACACTGCGAGTATACTTAAGAGGAAGAGACCCAGTTTTTCCAAAGTAGAGAATCCATATTGATCTTTGAAAAAGTCATTCTGGAAAAGAATCAGATATTCTATTTCAGTTTTTTAAAATCTATTTCTGATTGCCGCTGGGACAAAACCCAATTCCCTCCCATCTAAGACAGAAACTGCTTCTTGTTAGCTCCCCTTCAGAGCCCTGCTGTTTCCCCAATGACACAATGAGCATAAAAAAAAAAAAACCACTTCTCTGATCACAAGTTCAAAGTCAGCCTCAGCAACTTACCAAGACCCTGTCTCAAAATAAAAAATTAAAAACAGGGCTGGTGATGTGCCTCAGTGGTTAAGTGCCTCGGCTTCAATCCTTGGTACAAAAAAAAAAAAAAAGAAAGGAAAAAAAAAGCTTCTTCTTGGCTCACTTATTTTGAAACATTCAAGGCCTTCCTCCCTTGGGTCCCCATCAGAACTAAATAATAGCTAGGCACACGCCTGTAATCCCAACAACCTGGGAAACTGAGTGAGGCAGGAGGAATTCAAGTTTGAGGCCAGCCTCAGCAATTTAGTGAGACCCTAAGCAACTTAGAGAGGCCTGTCTCAAAATAAAAAATAAAAGGAAAAGGATGGGGATGAACCTCAGTGACAAAAACGCTCCTGGGTTCAATCCCCAATACCAAAAAAATAAGAATAATAAATAAATAAATAAATACCAATTTATTTACCTTCCACCACAGAGTCTGGTGTCTCAATGTCATCTATGATAGGTGCTGAGGGTGCTAACCTGGGAAAGGACATGCAGACCATAGGCACCTACCAGGTAAACAAGAGCCCCATCTGGCGAGTATGCGGGAAGAATCTACTCTCCACAAATCCCAGCTGGATGAAGTATGACATCAGTAGTTCAATACCTGCTGCATCCCGGCTGGGTGTCCTGCAAGCCTACAAGGAAGACAGCAGAGAGGTGAGCAGGAGAGTACCACCTGTAGAAACAGGTGCCTCCAACTATTTCTGTGATGTGTGGGCCCCATTGCTGGTACCATGAATTCTAGGAGGTCAGGAATCCTGGGATCCAGGCCCAGGCAGGACAATGGGCAGGTCTCTCCAGTCCTAGGGTACTGCAGGTGGAATTCCAACAGCCCCTCCCCTTCATCCCCAACCATCCTTGATTTTCCTAAGACTACACCCGTGCGGTCACAGGATGGGCACAAGATTCAGCAAGCTCAAGCAGCTGTCCTCCAGCTCTGCTGCACAGAAAATTTACCTGTCTCAGATCCATAAGATCTGCAATTTCATCTTCATATAAATAGCCATCTTCACTGTAATGTTCCAGGATAAAATCCTTTAAGAAAAATGAGATAAGATACTGAGATAAGATGTAATTCAAGAGGTCAGAGGGTAGCTCAGTGTTACAGCAATTGCCTAGCATGCTTGAGACCTGGGTGTGACACCTAGCACTTAAAAGAAAAAAGATGTGCTATGGAACCATAAATCTGTAAAACAGTTATATGTCAAATATGCTCACCCTTAAAAAAAATCATATACAATACAAAAAAATTTATTTGAGATTTTCAGAGTAGGTGAATTTATTTTCTTAATTTTGTTTATTACAGATTTTTTAGATGTTTCACTTGTTGCTTTAGTAAAAAAATTTTTTTTTTAATTTAAAAATGTCCTTGTGGGTTAGAGGTGTACCTCAGTGGTAGAGCACTTGCTTAGCGTATGGGAAGCTCTGGGTTCAATCCCCAGCACCAGCAAAAGGGGGGAAAAAGTCTAATAACACAGTTAAAAGACCTACACATTAAACACTTCTGACAGACAACACAAATATTCAAGGACTCAGACTTTCAACCTCTGAGAAGATCTCAGCATCCAGGCAGAGCCCAAAAGAAAAAAAAAATGTGTCATAGGATATTGATAAGCTGGATTATGTCTGTAATCTCAGTGATTTAGGAGGCTAAGGCAGAGGAATCGTGAGTTTGAGGCCAACCTCAGCAACTTAGTGAGACCCTGTCTCAAACTAAAGAAATAAAAAAGACTGGGGTGTAGCTCAGTGGTAAAGTGCCCTAGATTCAATCTCAGAACCTAAAAAAAAAAAAAAAAAAAAAGGATGTAAGATTCTGCAGGGAACCTTTGAGAGCTCTGGTACTTCCATGAACAAAAACAACCCAGTGAGACCTCTAAACCCCTAAATGGACCCAGAACATCCCAGTGTTTGACAACTGCTCAAAGTTCATTCAGTTATTTAACAAACATTGATGGGCACTTTCTATGTACCAGGCAGTGTAAAAAGATCTGTCCTCCCATGGAGCTCAGATTCTCCTAACACAGACAATAGTGATAGGCATGAAAATAAATAAACTAGGGGCTGGGGTTGTAGCTCAGTGGTACAGGGCTTGCCTAACATGTGTGAAGCCCTGGATTTGATCCTTAGCACAGCATAAAAATAATAAATACATAAAAACTCAGGTAGTGTCCATCTACAACTAAAAAAAATTTTTAATTATAATAAAGCAAATTTCTTTTAAAACCAAACAAACAAACAAACAAACTATATGGTACACAGTCGACTATTCCTTACTGAACCGCTTGGGACAATTAGTGTCTCTGGCTTTACTTCCTCCACCCCCAGCCCAGATTTTGGAATATTTGTGATGACATAATGAGATATCTTGAGGATGGGATCCAAGTCTAAATATACACTTTTTACACACAGCCTAAAAGTAATTTTATACAACATTTTAAAATAATTAATTTGTATATGAAACCATGTATATTTCATGGTGTAGAAGTTGTGACATCATGAAGGTACAGAATTTGAAGCACTGTAGGGATGGTCGACCTGTATCAGAAGAAAGCAAATATTATAGGAACAAAAGTAAGAATAATGTGAGGGGAGAGAGAATGATCCTGCCGAGCATCCTCCCTAAGCGCTGGCTCTCGCTGGCTATAAGAGAAGCTGGTAAGATAACCAACTGTTCACTTCTTTCCCCTAGTGACTGTGATATTCTCTGTAGTACATGCTTCAAACTCCTCCCGTTTTAGCATGTGCAATGCAGAGAGACACACACATGCTAATGGATTTGTACTGAATACAACTTAGCTATATAGCAAACATTTTCACAGGCCATAAAATATAACATGACTTTTAATGGTTCTGTATCCCCCAATGAAGTAAGCATACAATTTAAGTATTCAACAAGTAAACTGAGCACTAGCTATGTGCTAGCCAAATGTACTAAGATTTTACTTTACTTTCACTTGTTAAAATACCAAAGTTGGGACTAGGGTTGTAGCTTAGTGGTAGAGCACTTGCCTACAATATGCAGGGTCCTGAGTGGGATCCTCAACACCACATAAAAATGAATACATTAAATAAAGGTATCGTGTCCAATTACAACTTAAAAATATTTTTTTTAAGAAAAAGATACCAAAGTTGTTTCCAAATTTTTCAATTAAAGATAACACTGTGATGATCATCAGTGTGCACATCTCTGACTAGTTTCTCAAAACAAATCCCCAAAGATGTATTACAGTGTCCAAAGAAATGACGTTTCTTTAATTTTGAATTAAAAAATTAAATTTTTGCAGCTCAAAGGCTGAGGCAGGAGGATCACAAGGTCAAAGCCAACCTCAGCAACATAGTGAGGCCCTGTTTCAAAATTTTAATAGCTAAACAAAAATTTTAAAAGTAAGTAAAAAGAATGGGGGAGGTGGCTCAGTGGTTAAGTGCCCCTGGGTTAAACCCTCTCACCCCCAATACCAAAAGAAAAGAAAATTTTTGTAATTTAGTTATTTTTATACAACTTCTTCTTTCCTCTTTTTTTTTTTTCTTTTTTTGTCCTGGTGAGATACTGTTGCCCAATAGACTCAAACTCCTGGACTCCAGGGATCCTCCAACCTCAGCCTCCTGAGCAGGGGGATCTTTGCCTGCACGACCACAGCAGGCTCAAAACTGTCCTATTGTCTTATGATGCTGTCACAGATTTTCTTCATGACAAAGTGGTGATGTTTACAATCAATGTAATGATCTACTAATGTAATGACTATTTGTAAAATTTGAAATAGTTTTTAAATACTGTATTGTCGGTAACATTAATTAAGGTGAGCATGATCTTCAGGACAAAGGTGATCTGAGCTCCACACAGACAGTCCTGAAAGCAAGACCAGCACTTTTCAAGGAGACGCACAGGCACGAGGACCTTTTCCTTTACTAAGTCAATAATGAAAAACCTAATATTCTTCCTTTCTTTTACAATCAATAACTAGTTAGATAAATATAATAGCAATATTATATAGGAATATCTTTTATAAAAGTACAGTATTTCTAGGGATAAAAGTAATTAAGCTGACAACTATTAGACTTTACTGAAGGACATGAGCTATTTCATTATTTCTTTTATTTATTCATTAAATCATTTCTGAAAAAGATAGACATGGTCCCTAACCATATAAGTTTTGTTGTTGTTGTTGTTTGGGTTTTGTTTTTTTTTTTTTTTTTTTTGCTTTACTGGGGATCAAACCCAAGTACTTGACCATGCTAAGCAAGCACTCTACCACTGAGCTACATTCTTTATTTTATTTTGAGACTGGTCTCACTAAGTTGCCCAGGCTAGTATTAAACTTATGATCCTCCTGCCTCAGCTTCCCAAATAGCCAAGATTACAGGTGTTTGCCACCATGCCCAGCCTTTCCCTCATATAACATTTGCTATTGGTTAATTGGATATGTTTTGTTCACAAAGAAAAATGTGCAATACTGTGAAGATGGACTTTTGTCCAAATTAATGTATGAGTTAATTAAATTTCAATCAAAACTCAAAAGTGCTGTTTTTGGGGGAACTTGATGAAATATCAAAGCAAAAATGTGGGAGTAAAAGCTGAGAAAATTTGGAAAAGTCAAGTCATAAAGGAGCCTTGTTCTACATGATGCTCAAGTGTGCTCAGGGGTTAAGCAGTGAGCCATAGGCAGACCTGAGTATATTTGAGAATCAGGTAATTAACAAAAGCCTGCAACTTCCCCAAAGGAACAGAAAAGGCAATTGTCATACACAGTTCTGGGATAGACTCACTCTACAGAGCCAGGCTGGCTCTCTAACCCTGGAGGGTTAACCTGGATGAGCTTCAGTTTCCTCAGATGTGAAACAGGATAATGTCTAGCACTCCAGGCTGCAGTGGACTAGGCTTAGTAGTTTCCCCATAAAAACGGAGTAAGGATGCATATCCATATCAGGTCTAGGCAGGATGGCACGCATCAGCAGTACTAGTGATGAGAATGTAATGCAGGGATTATTATTATAATAGTGGTGTAGGCAGAGTTAAAGAATGGTGCCAAACTCCTGAAGTCATTCGAATAGAACCCCAGGATTGGGAACATAGCTCAGTGGGAAAGGACTTGCTTAGCATGCTCTTGCCCCTGAATTCTGTGCCTAGCATACAAAAGGGCAGGGGTGGGAGTGGATTAAGCCCCATAAACTGGAGAGCCCAGATTTAGAAGCAGCTACACTGGCAACCTAGGTGGGCACCAAATCACCTTGGGGTAGGGTGTCTTTTGCATAGAGAATGCAAAAGGCAGCTGAAGAAGACAGGGAAAATGTGACTTCCCTCTGCTTCCACCTTGGGATCTCCTGCTGGTGCTCCTCCCCCTTGACCATAGAGAAAAGAAAGCTACAGCAAGAGGCTGGTATGGAGTGGGAGGGGAGCAAGAGGTGGGGGTAGGGAAGAGACACCATCAAGCACTGCAGAAACTCTGTCCTTAATAGACACTGTCTCTTCCAACCTTCACAAAGCAGGACACTGTTAGAGGAAGAAACCAGAGTGTCCAAAGGATCAGTAAGTACTAAGCAAGTCACATAGCTAAATAGGGAGGGAGCTTTATGTGTCTTGGTATTTTCTGAATGTTCTGCAATAATGGTCTTAATTAGAGTGAAGAAGAGGAGGAGGAGGAAGAGGAGGAAGAGGAGAAGCAGCAGTAGTAGCAGCTCCCTTTAAAGCAAAGACAAGCCAGGCATGGTGGTGCACACCTGGAATCCTAGCTACTCAGGAGGCTGAGGCTGAGGCAGATCACAGATTTGAGCGACTTGGGCGACTTAGTGATAACCTGTTTTCAGTAAAAATAAACAGGGCTGGGGGTGTAGCTCAGAGGCAGAGAGCTTGCCTAGTGTTCAATCTCCAGTAAAAATAAAACAAGAAGAAAAGCAAACAGACAAATAAAACCTCAAATTCTCTGGAAAAGGCATGCATTTTGATAATTTTAGTTGTTGCTGCTTTTGTTTTTTGTGGTTCAGGGATTGAATCCAGGGCCCTGTGTAATCTAGGCAAGCACTCTGCCTCTGAACTACACCAGCAGGCCTGATGATGCTTTCTAAAGCAGCCATTTTAAAGCCCAAGTCTTTTAAAACAGAATAAAATTACATCATGAGGACTGGGTTTATGGCTCAGAGGGAAAGCACTTGCCTAGCATGGGTGAGGCCCTGGGTTCGATCCTCAGCACCACATTAAAACAAAACAAATAAATAAAGGTTAAATTCCTTTAAAAAAAAAAATCACATCATAAAGCTTTCCTGGCCTTAAACCTCCCATGGACACATTTGAAATTGAATGGCCCTGACAAAGTCCACTGAACAACTTCTGTGTTGCTTGTTTCTCTCAAATACAAATGTGGAAGGGAGAAAATAGAAAGTCCCCAAACGTTCTCATTTTTGGATGAGTGACATTTGCAGCGTCCCTTTTCAGATAAAATGACATGGTTGGAAGCCTCACTGAATGGTAATTGGCTATGCCCACAGCATGTGATTTTTTTTTTTTTTCCCACTTGCTTTAATGTGGAATTCAGCAACATGACCTATTTGGATCCTTGCAGATGCCCCAAACATTCCTAAGTTTCTCCAAGAGAGTCTCCTTTAAAATGTCCACATTCTTTTTAACTCTGGCACCGGGCAACAGACAAATTAAATCTTAAGAGAAAAAAAAAAAAAAAAAAAAAAATTGTAGAAATGCAACTTTTCTACAAATACAGGGATTATCTTTGAGTTCCATAGAGCAGTGACAAATCACATCTCAAAAGTTCAGACAGGCTGTGAAAAGCTGGCATAAAGAGGCTGATCCTAAACCGTTTCTACCCAGAAAAATCAACTTTTTGGTCAATCTGAGCCCTGAAACACCACCAATTAATTGCCTTTCTCCAACTCGAAGAAAAACTCCAAACTCACAGGGACCTGACCCTAAATTTAAACAAAGGCAGCAGTCAAAAGACCCTGGGTAGCCAGCATGGTGGCACACGCCTGTAATCCCATCGGCTCAGGAGACTGAGGAGGGCTGGGGATGTGGCTCCGTGGTCAAGTGCCCCTGAGTTCAATCCCCTGTAACAACAATAATAACAAAAAGACCCTGAGTAAAGGGACGTTTATGTCATGTGACTCATAGCCTCTGTTTAAGAAGAGGTCAAGTGCAGTTGCTTTCAAAGTATTAATCCACTGCTTTTAAAAGACAAATTCAGGTTGGACATGGTGGTGCACTGTAATCTCAGCTACTCCTGCAGAGGCTGTGGCAGGAGGATCACAAGTTTGAGGCCAGCCTTAGCAACTTATTGAGCCTCTGTCTCAAAATAAAACAAAAAGGGCTAGGGATGTAGCTAGTGGTAAAGCACTCCTGGTTCAGTCTCCAGTACTGGGGTAAAAATTAATTCTATAGTGGCCAAAATGCCATGATAATTTTTTTTCTTAACTAATAATAGTACAAAATGAATCAACGAACAGGATTAGTAAGGAAAGAAACATCATTCTTTGAAGCATTTTTTTTTACAATGCTGGGTTTAATTCCTATCCTTCGAACCTGTACTGGAAAGCTCAGAGATAGATACTTCCTTCTACCTCATCTCCTAAACAGCAGTTGGAGGTGAGTCATTAAATCTCAAACTGAACATGGAGTTGGGGATATGGCTCAGTAGTATTATAGCTGCTTAGTCTGCGCAAGTCCTGGGTTTAGTTCCCAGTACCAAAAAACCACCAAACTGTCTCCAGCTATCCATGGGCTGTGTGTGTGAGCTATGCACATTTGGGACTGGTCTGGCGTTAACACGGTTTTTTGGGCTGTGCGACCCATTTTTCTCTCGCTCTGCCTGTGATCCTACACAGCACCTGAGATGGGTGTGGCTTTCCAAGATGTCAATCAACCTGCTGACCACAAGACATCACCAAGCAAGACTCCATCTTTTGAAACCCAATCCCTTGCCTTATTTGGGTGGAATATTCTATGAATGGCTTTTCCCCAATAAACAGGGGAATTTCAGGTGGGCTCTCTCTCTTGCCTCTTTCTTCCCTTGCTCCCCTTGCCTTCCAGCGTGGGAGCTGACAACTGAGGTCTCAGAGATGTCTTTGATCCACAAAAAAGGTATTTCTGTGTTTGTGTGGTTTTTCAGTTGCCAGCCCAGCCAGCTGGTGATACCAAACCTCAAACTGATGGAGCTGGGGAAAGGAAGAATAATTAAATATTCTAGGTGTGGATGGTCTCCTGGCCCCTGTGTGGAAGCTCCACCTCTCTTGTATGACTCTAACAAAGACCTCCCCCATGGGACTCACAGGCCCCCAAGGTAAGGCTTGTGGCATCTCCAGGTGGCAATACAGTGTCTGCTGCAGATCTACAAGTACTTACTGAATGAGAAAGGAGCTCAGAAACTCAAGAATTAGATAGAGAAAAAAACCGAACCCCAAACTTGAGCTACTCAAGTATTTAAGGGTAGTGAATTGATATCTTTGATTTACTTTGAAATGCATCATAAAATAAAATGGACTGGTGGGCAGACACAGGGAGGCATAAATGGACAGGTGGGCAATAAAGCAAAATGTTACTGGTAGGATTCTTTCAGGATGACTGTAGGATTCTTTCAGTTTTTCTATAAGTTTGGAAGTTTTCCATGATAATATGTTGGGGGCGGGAGACTTTAGCTGTTCTTCCAAAAACATGGCCTTAACTGGTTACACAGTTTAACAAGAAAGGTGAAACAGGGTATAATTTTTAAAATTCTAAAGGACGCCCACCACAGACCCTCTTCCACTTGGCCTCTCGTGGAGGTCCGTCTGGGATCCCAGCCCACCTTTTCCAGGTTCTCAGGAGGAGCTTCAGAAGTCAGCAAAGAAGAGAGCAAGTTAAGAGAAATGACTGACGGTCACCTGCAGACAGATATCACTGGCGCCTGGCCCAGTGGGCCTCAGACCACTTCGAGGAATACACAATAATTTCTTTTTTCCCATTTTAAACACCGAGGCCAACTGCTTTACCTTGAGGACGACTGAAAAGTCAACGTCTTTGGTTTCCTTCAGGCCAAGAGGAATCAGAGGGATCATAAACGCCTCCCTACAAAGAGCACAACAAGGCATGTGAACACCCCAACCAGGCCACTTGGCACTCCGCAGCCTCACCCCAGCAGCCCAGCTCAGGTCCCCACTTCTGTCCCCACACCAGTCCACCACACAGCTAGCTGACAGGTTCCCGTTCCCTCAGGACAACTTGGGTCATCCCCTTCCTTCAGTTCTTAAAATGGATTCCAGCTCCCTGTGACAGCTGGATGCTGCAGCCTAACACACAAGACCCACCCCCACCCCACCAACTTGACCCTGGTTTATCCCTCCCGTCTCAACTTTTCAGCGACCTGCCACATGCACTCACTGCTTCCCAGCCTGGGTACACCACCCGCTACGCTGGGCCTCCTCCTAATCTCCAACCCTCCCTCCTCTCCCTCTCCTCACCACAATGGGTCCCACCTCTCTAACTGCCCTCCAACACCCTTCACACTCAACCCTGGGCTCCACATCTGGGGGTATGACAACAGGTATCCCATTACCTGCATAGAAAAGACTTTGCAGCCTGGGGCCCCACTTGACATCTAGGCACACTTGGCTCCCAGTCCAGGGTCAGCCTGCAGTCTCCACTACACCTCCACCTCCTCTTCTGCCCCCACTGACCCCTCAGTCAACCTGCACTCAGGAGTGCTCCCTGAGCCTACATTCCTAGGGGCAGGGCCAGAAGGAAGTGAACAGGAAGCAGGCTGTGTTTAGCAAATAGGGATTTAGCTCCCTGACCTGTAACAGGAGACTGCCACAGGCTGCTTAGCCCAGCCCAGAGAGAAGGTCAGGAATGCTGGGCAGGGTGAGTGGACAATGCAGCTGTAAACTGAAACTGCCACTGTGGCACTGCTGTGCTAAAAGCAGGTGAGACCAAACCTTAGTATCTGGCTTCCCCAAAGCCTGCCAGGAAGGCTGGACCTGAATAGAAGGAGATTAAGGCAGGCCAAGCCTTGCTCCTCCAGGGCTGGCGGCAAGGTCGGCTCTTCCCAAGACTCTCCAGAAGAGTGACAGGTATCCTGAGGACTCCATCATCCCTAGTGTGGCGCTAACATGACTTTCTTTGTGACCTGGGCCTCCCTGAATTTTCTCATCTGTATGTGAGAAATTTCTTCCCTGCCTACCTCTAGAAGAGCTTCACAATCTACAGCACTCAGAAAGCAGCGACCTACTTTGAAAATAGCTACAATGAAGGGTGCAAATACAAGTTGTCATTTGGTATCTGCCCGTCTCTCCCCTCTCCCCAATAACACAGGGGAATCTAGAGAGGCCATTGTGGACTATGACTATGCAGGGGTCTTAGATGCATCTTTGTAAGAAAACCCTGCTTTTTTTTTTTTTTTTAAACAAAACAAAAAAATGGCCACTCTCCATTTATTACTAAAGTCTGAGTCCTGGAGGAATTTGGACCTTTTTGGTGAGGTCTAGTGGCACATGCCTGTAATCCCAGCAATTTAGGAGGCTAAAACAGGAGGATCAAAGTTCAAAGCCAGCCTGGGCAACTTAGCAAAACTCCTGTCTCAAAATAAAAAATAAAAAGGGCTGGGGTGTAGCTCAACAGTAGAGCACTCCCCAGGTTTAATCCCTAGTACTAAAAGAAAACAACAATAAAAACCCTAACCTTGAAATTTTGGGGGGAAACACTGGTATTTAACACCAGAGAAGAGGCTAGGAGAACCTTCCACTCATTGCTGCCCTGACTGAGTTTTTGAAACTGCACTGGGAGCCCACAGGTAAAGCAGCTGCGCACAGGACTGTCACTGAGGGAAGAGCAGCAGGACTCCAGACACTTGCTCTTGGCTCTGAGCTTCAAAGAACAACCCAGGTGCCATGGGGAGGATTAGGGTCAGGAAATGCACACTCCAAGGTGGCTCAAAATTCCCAAATGTCTTCCTTCTGTTAATCCAGGGAACTATTTTATGCCTGAGTTTCCCCTGGAGCTCACCCATCTAAGAAGGCTCACATCCCCACATGGCAAGTAAACCCTTCTTTGGAGGGCTCAGCTATTTCTTAATTAAAGATGAACATTTCTTTTTCCCCAAAAAATAGCTCACCCAGGGCAGAGAACTTTCTGAAGGCACACTTCAATAATCCACCTCCCATAAACATTCCCTGAGGAAACTCCAATACTTATTGTCATACATTTCTTAAGTGTCGCCACTGTACCATCTTCTAGGGGAACTCGGGCCCCCTAACTTTGACTGGGGCCCTTGGGCTGGGGTTGTGGCTCAGCGGTAAAGTGCTTGCCTAGCATGTACGAGGCCCTGGGTTCAATCCTCATTTATTAAGAATAAATAATTTATTAAAAATAATTTCTTAAAATAAAGTTAAGGCATTGTGTACAACTAAAAAATAGATATATATTAAAAAAAGATCCCCCTCAAGGCAGTTTCTACTTTTTTGCATTCTATCAACAGAAAGACCCAGGGCCAGGCCTTGTACTTGACGAGAGTCCGGGAGGGCAAATGGCAGGGTAACCTTGTCCTCACCTGGCACATCAGCTATGGCCACCCACAGAAGCAGGGCATCTTTACATCACAGCCACCATCCCAGCCCATGTGAAAGATGCCATCTCCCTGCTGGGACCCAGTCATGTTGCTCTCTGTGTTCCAAGGGATCCCAGGTCAAACGCCCGTCTGTCCAATACTGCGGATATTTCCCAACAAACTCCACAGGGTCATTGCTTTAACCCTTGTACCTGGTTCAACACCAAACCCAATCATCTCACTTCCCAAAATAGGGGCTGCCCTGCCCTTGGTGCACAACCCCCTACCCACCGCCTCTCTGCGTCCCACCCTGGACACAGGTACACTCAGGCATCTGGATGACGCGCTGCCCCACTCACTCTGTGCTCTGATACACTCCCACGGAGATGTTGAGCCCCTCCAGCTCCTCCTTGAGCATCTGCAGGTCCGAGTTGACGAAGCTCAGCTCCAGGCGTACCTGCTCTCGCACCTTCTGGTTCGTGGCTACTCTGTTCAGAGAGAGAAGGGAGAGATGTGCCCTCAGCCAAGCACCCCACTGCCAGGTGAGCAGACCAACCCTCAATTCCTGCGGGGAAGCTCAGAGGGCTGCTTGCATTTGCTTGCCAGATGTGATCAGACAAGTTGTCTCAGAGACCCTGGGCATCTGCCCCATCTTCAGCCAGACCCACCAGCAAATGGAGCTGGGAACACAGTCAATAATGCTGCAAGCTGCCACATCCTAAGGATCACTGCAAAAAGTTACCCTTGAAAAAGATGACTGCCTCCAGTCACCTACTAAAAGGCCATAAATTATCCCTTTAAATCAGGCACAGTAGAATGAGTCCCAGCACTAGGAAGGCTCAAGAAGGCAGATCACTTGAGTCCAGGAATTCAAGTCCAGTCTGGGCAACAAGTGAGACCCCATTCAAGAGACAAAAATACACAACAACAAAATTATCCTCTTACAAAGAAAACAGAGGACGAAGTAACACTTCCCAACTCATTCTATAAGGCTAGAATTACTGTGATCCAAAACAAAACAGGTCAATATCCCTCATGAATACCTATGCAAAAATCCTCAATAAACAGCAACCCAAACCAGCAACATATAAAAAGGATTATCTACCATGATTTATTCCAGGATACAAGATTGGTCCTACATCGGAAAATCAACTCATGTAACACTATATTAGTAGAATAACACATGGTTAGCTGGGCCCAGTCGCATAGTAATTCCAGTGGCTTGGGAGGCTGAGCAGGAGGATCATGAGTTCAAAGCCAGCCTCAGCA